ATCGTCATCACCGTATTGACGAAGTACTTAATGGACGCATTACTTTATCGGAGCAGCAGATCAGCCAATAGAGAATTCGCTAAGAGCTCTTTTACAGGGCAATGAAAAAGTGGGTTGCATAAACGTTCGCTAAACTCAATTTCGACTATGCAAAAGGAACGCTGCTAAACCAATATTCATTCACAGACCGAATTAAACAAATCGGCTATAAGTGGGAGAGATAAATAAGCTGAACTTTAACTTGAACCCGACAGCGCTGTGTTTACTGACTACGGTTACCGGAAACTACTATTAGGTGAAAACGTTTGAGGAAAAACAGGGTGGCACAAATATTGTAAAATAGTTCCTAAGTTGACATAGGCTAGAAATATTTGCTGCAATTGGACGATGCCTGCGCAATGAACCTTCGAATGGATAATAAACTGCGCAAATTTTTCCTCCCGTCATATATTTGCCGTACACCTTGCATTGCCTTAAAATGACCAAAAATTTATTTAAAGAAAAGAAGAATAGCCTAGACAAGGAAAAACCTTAATTCAATATAATGTAAATGGTGTGCAAGGGTAGTGCAGGTGAAAAAATTTATACAATCAATTTTTGGCTCTTACTACTCAGTATTTTTTACACAAATCAACAAGGCGTTTATTGTAAATAGACACTGTAACACCGTGGCGTATTTCGTCAGATTCAAAATGCTCTACACATATGTGTATAACAAATTAATGTAAGTAAAATCGTCGGGTTGAAGAATACAAGCCGTGAAGGACAAGATCTGTATCAGGAATCGCTTAAGTAACTTAGGTACAGTGACGCTGCTGCGTATTCAACATTAAATCGTGTGGACCGGAACACCTTCTCAAAACAGACCCTTGCAAACGGATAGTCCGAGGTTTTAGTTCGTGTTTGATAATATTATAGTGCAACACCTTTTAGGGTAAATATATATTTATACTACGAATGCTTTGCAATTAAGGGACTATTTTGTACACGGTAACTGGTATTAGGAACGGTTATTATTAGTATCATCATCGTCGTCAATTGGGCTCTCCAAGACTTCCGTGAAGCTTTCTGCCTCTTCAACGCTCGCACCGTTTTCAAAAACATCGCCAATTTTAGCCACTTCGTTCGCACGTCGCATTATTCACACAGTACGTGATCAGTCGTAGTCTGACCATATCTAGAGTACCGGCAGAGCTTCGCTGTATGTATAAAATACTAATCTGCCTTGGCGATTCCTAGTGTTCCTGATGTATGTAATTAGTCAGCAGAGTCCCAAAGACCCGATGACCCCTCAACCCGATTTAACGTAATCGGCCGGTAACAGTGGACGGATTTAGCTTCTTCATGCTACTGGAGCTTAGTCTTTAACTAAAGGTAGCTTTCGCAGTAGTGACACTATTCCAGACTTTTTCGCACAACAAGAGGGATTCCTCTCGTGCGATAGTAAATAAGGCAGCGCTGCGAACCTAGTGGCATCTTTTTTTTCGTATTGTTTTATGTATGTCATTAAATTAGCAACGGAGTAGAAGTTTTAATATGCAGTACGCTGGCTTAACTGGCACTGCATTACTGCCATTCCGTGCGTCGTAACAGTCCATTGGTTTTCCGGCCACCGTTAACTTCCCTAGCTAGCAAAGTAACACATGCGAGTACTAAGTGTTATCGCAGATACATCATACACACGTACAGACGGACCAACAGTTATACGGAAGCAAGCATATCTAGAATTTAACAGCAGCGGCGGCGGCGGCAGCAGCAGCAGACGGCTATGTCTGTCGGGTATACCGGCAACTCGAATTAGCCGGACAGTAGTACTCGGTAAAGGCACTAAGCCTAGTGAGCAACGCTGTCTAAATAGCAAATCATATCAGAGTAGTGTATAAGAAGTACCTTACCACTTGTTAGAAAACGCCGTTGATGCATACTAAGCCCTTGCCCCCCAGGTCTCTATTCGGTTTCGTTCCCGTTGCAAGGTCGGCGGGAGCTGGTGTTGTACGGGTAGAATCTAGTACCAAGGAGCTCAGAAAACGACTCAGCACGAGATAGTCATCAGGATAGTACTTCTAGGAAAATTAGCATTCCATCAGGAACAGCAATGGGCAACAAAATTGAGAAGAGTAATGTTGACGACGACGACGACGCTGCCGCCGTCGACGAAAAACTCGTGTTCTTGCCTCGCTTTCTTTGTACGAATGCTGTTCCGACTGCTACAGTTGTCATTGTTATCAGTTCTTTCGTGTCTAGGCTACCTTGGTAATGTTGCTGTTGCTGCTGCTGCCGCCGATGCTATTCTTGTTATTCCACCTAATGATATCTTCTCTCAATGTTGCTCTGTTGTTGTTGCTGTTGTTACTGCCGTCGTCACCAGCAAAGAAGGTCACTGTCGCATGTGATCCCGCAGCTACGCCGATGATGAAACAGCAGTGTGACGTTGTGGTAGCTGGCAGCAGCCAATATCAAACGTCAACACTTGGGCATACCGTTCTTCGCATACTCGCGGCATGTGGTATGCTTCTGTATAGCCAGGCAGCCATGCGCTAGATCCGGCTGCGCGGTTCGCCGTAGCAGCATAATGCGGGCTATGTACGCTAAGCGTGAAGGCTGAGGCACAAGGCGTAAGGGATTAGCCAGTATGCATTACTGCGTACAATGAATGGGGGCAAACAAAGTGCGAAAATGTGGTGGAGGAAAAAGCCGGATGGTTGCCGTTGTTGCTGGCGTTACCGTCCGTGCCTCCAAACCGCTGTCCCAGAACCTCGTTCTTCGCTTTGTTGTACCATCTACTCCTTTTATTGGTGATGATGATGATTACGATGATGCAGGTGGTGATGACGAGGGAAGATAAGCCGGAAATAAGCGGGCTAGAGATGTGGGTGCCACATACGCAGCGATGCATGTGATAACGCTGCTGTTGTTTTTGCTTGGTGTGACAATACAGGAAGGAAGGACAGGCGGGTAAAAAGATTACATATAAAGACAACGACGGCAGCGGCGATTCCAGCTCTGCGCCGTCATGTGCCTGCCAACATTTAACGTTGAAATCTATGCACCTGATGTGTACGAGTAATAAGCAGTTGCTTGCAACTAGAAACTAGCCCCTCCTTCCATAGACAGAGCGTACGTGTAGCCTCCAAGTTCTGCCTAAAAATAACAGCGATTTACTACGCAATGGATTATGGCAACGTGGTTTGTTTACGGATTTTACATCACAAAACAAAACAAAAACGTATTATTTTTATTATCAATGTGGTGTTACACGAATGCGTATACATAGACAAGACTACAGTGAAGTAGGGGTTGTTTACGGTGAAACACATAGAAGCTCTACGCAACAGCTTTGTGGTTAAATTCAAGCTTGAGTTGAAGTTTACAACAAATCACGGCATGTACGTAGAGCTAAAGAGACACTTACTATTACAAGTGTAAACATTTCAGCTTAAAATGTAATAAATCAATCAAATATTCCTGTTAACGTATATGAGTAACGCATCAGGTATTTATACTTGACTGACTGGATAAAATATTGCATCAAATAATAGCTTTTTCAGTTACATCAGATCCTTCACGTGGCGACGTCAGTGAACCATTCCAAGCAGCCAGATTTGAACGAAATACTCAAATCTGTCACCTGCAGGGATCTCGATGCCACTTCAGGACATCGCTCCTGCCCCAAATTCGATTTGAATTTTTTGCACAGGGCAGATCTGCGATCAATTGCTCTTTGCCCGCCGCTCGTGCTACTACTTTACAAGTCAAATTCGCATCCGTACAACCATATATGTATGTGTTCCTCATTCCAATAGGCCTTTCTTTCTCGATATATTCTGAGGCAACTACAGTTGTCATATAATATACTCTTATTATACGGTATCATATTGTTCGGTCAGGTCGCCAATATATCAACCCACGTTGCTATATAACCATATAAACCACCAACAGTAAAGTCATGACATCTCTTATTATCTGAGAACTTCGTCGTTCCGCTTAGCGTGCGCATCGCGTCGCGCTATACATGAAAACAACGACAAGCGCTGGACAGCTGGCTCCATCTATTTCCGAACTACCCTGCAACTCCCATGAAGTCAGCTTATGGGGTTCAGATCGTCTAAATGCGTGTGCCTGCTTCCGACACCCAAACGTACCTCCTAACATCCAATAAATTCTGATATTTTCTTCTTCGAAAAGAAACGAGAACGAACGAAGGGAGGCGCAGCATGAAGCAGAATGAAATCCCTTGTGTAACCGATCTTTGAAGTAACAACAGCTGCCGTTGTAGGGGAGATGACAGGCAAATGCAACAAACAGCCACTTGCCAGAATGTGTGATTGACAAATTTTGTGTGTGCATGTATGTGGTTGCACGACGGTGTATGTGTACAGCTTGGCTCGTCTATGGAAAACGGATCATTTGTAAACATCCGTACAACAAAAGGCAGCTCGCTGCTTCTGCTCGTTAGTGCTAGTGCTAGTGCCGTCGCTCAAAATAACCGAACCAGCAATAGACTCTCTTTTCCTTAGTAGTCGTCCTTTTTAGTCCTTTATTAGCAACTATATCCTGCTTGTGTCTAGGTCTCCTGCCCGTGCTCGATGAGTTACTCCTTTATTTATCCCCTTAGAAGCTTTGCTTCTGCAGCTTCTTTGAATTAGTTGCTTCTATCAAAAGCAAAGCGGTAAATGCTCTACCTTTCTGACTGACTGGATCACGAAGTCTAAATTTTCTTCCTAAGCCTTACGCGTTGGGTCTATCCGACAATATTCTAGTTTCTCCTAGGAAGAAATTTCGATAAAACAACTCAACAACGGCTTGGGAAAATTCACTGGAACTACCTGAAACTCCACTAATTTCTCCGTAAAAAAGACTACTTCTGTCGGATAGTCGTCCTAACATTATCCGGTTTTACGTCCTTTTATTCAACTTGTAAACCTAATCCTACTATGCATTGCCTGCGTACTTCCTAGAATATAACAATCACAACGAACGGAAAGAAATGCATCACTAACCTGTTGGCAGCCTCGAGTTCAAATGACTCGCCAGTAATCTTTTTATCAAGGGTAAAGACAGTTTTGTTGGCATCTTTACCATCGTTTTCCTTGAACTTGTAACTCTTCGTTGGACGAATCGATCCTAAGCCGGCGTTCACGATCGACCTTCGGCTGCGATGTCGAGCCTCGCTTAATTGTTCAAGCGCCTTCTCCAGATCGTCGACTTTTCCATCAGCCTCAGTAGTTTTTTTGCTGTCCTTTTCTGGTGGAATTACGTGCACAGTAATAGGCACCAACGGGCTGTACCGTTTGCTCTCCTTGCGATTGTCATGAAGACGAGCAGCCAACTTGAGGGTCAAAACACGCATTTCTTTGCCAGCTTCCTCGCCAAGCTCCCTAACTCTCTGCGACGCGCCCTTGACCACACTTTGCACCTTTTTTAGGTTCTCGTCGAATTTCTCACCAACGGTTTTTTCCTTCACCAGGCTTTTGAGTTCGGCTTCGCGTTCCCATTCGTCTTGGGGTTTACGCGTCAGCATAAGTTCTCCCGTTTTGGGCACTACGGCTATCATTGGGTGTCTGTCGACGAGCTTGAACACAACTGAATCACCGTCAGCGTCCCTGCCCTCAATCTGACCGAAGACAGTCTGTGGAACGGAATCCGCGTGGACACGAAACTCATAATTATCCTGAACAGGTTCAGGTGAATTGTCGTTCTCATCGAGAACGTGGATACTAAGTTTTCTTGTCGCTTCTTCAGGGCCAGAGAGGGCTTTGACGACTAAATCATATTTTGATTGTTTTTCACGGTCGAGCGGAGCTGAGGTTATCACGACAGCAGTTTTCGGATCGATCTGTGATACCTTAAAGAGCCCGTCATGGTTACCGCTTTGAATAGTAAAACGCGCGGGTTTGTTCACTTGTAGCATAAGGTCGTTGCTGCTTGACGAAAGTTCCCTTTGAACGATGTCAGTGTTGGTGACATAGCCGTTAATCAAATTGTTCCTACATAGGTCAGAGACAGTCGCCCCGGAGTCGAGGTTTTCCGGAACGCTCCCTTGATAACCGTCACTAATAAACGTTAACCGATGTTTATGCGGCACCACGTGAACTATCGCCTGGTAGATGGGACTGAACGAGCCATTGTAATTCTCAGCTATGACGACAGGCAAACTTGATGGCGCTTTCTGTAACAAATCGAGATCATTATCATCAGTGAAAGCTGAAGCCAAACCTGATCCGCTGCTGTGCCCCTGTCTCAGAGCCCAGTCATCATGGACCGCACTGTCTTTGGTAGAGTTGGCGAGGTTGTACACCAGACTCCGTCGTAGAGCTTTTGCACTGCCAGCCATACATTTTAGATTGCTACACACCATTAAGTGTCCACCATCACTGAGTGCAAACATGTTCGATTCGCTGAGAAATCCTTGTTGTGGGTCGATATTAGTTTGGGTGGTTGGCTGTCCTTGCATCACTTGGTATGCCGGTCCGTAATAGTTGAGCTGTCGAAGAATGTATCCAGGATAAGCGTTATCTGTGACGACAATGTGTTCAGGTCGCCAATCGGCCGGGCCTTGAAGCCCGGCGTTTTTGGCATGAGATCGGTCCACAACTGAGACGAGAAGAATCGCCGCGAGCAGCGTCTTCCCTAAGCACCGGAGAGGCCGGCATTCCAACAGTGACGTTATTGCTACTGCTGCAGCTGTACGGTGATGTATGCTTCCACTACTCTTGCTGCTATACCGTGTGTGTGGCTTATTACGACGGCTATGTTTCCATGGGAGAGCCGTTGATGGTGGTAACGACGATTCTTGTCGATAATGATGATAGCTATATACATCATATGCGCGACGGCATTTCAGCGGCTGTAGGGGCGAGCTTCTTTCGACAACAGCGGTTGATCGGTGACAGTGGTGGCGGCTCCACTGACCGATTCTATTTTTGCTGCTGTCGTTGCCTGAGATCTCGTTTGCTGCTGTTGCTGAGGGACCGGGTCCTGTTGTGACCTGCGCAGCGTCGTATTTCGAAAACGCTTCCGGAGGGCTAAGCCGGCTCCAAGGATCCGAGTCCCAGTTCAGACTAGCTGAACTCATTTCGATCTGTCTGCTGCTGCTGGGTCGGCGCACCCACTTAGCTGACGTCCGTAGGTTTTTTTTTTACTAAGTGTTCATTGCCGCGACGAGAGCTGCGCCTTTTGTTGCGCGCGCTGCTCGAAGTCCGAATTATTTCGAGGCTTACATTGCACGGTCGTCACACGCGGGCGGACACCTGCAATATGCCCAGAAATGAACGGTTTTTGTTAGCGTCACCTGTAAAGAAAGGTCCTGTTTTTATTATAAACAGGACGTTTGTGATAATAACGAAACGGCGCAAGGCGTTTCGTTATTACAACAACTTAGGAACTTTCGCACGGATTTTTTTTTACTAGAACTTGCACAGTATCTTATCGAGCGGTATTTACTAATTTACTGAGAAGTGAGGCTGATGATAATTAATGTGACAGTTAAATCTAATATCGTTATTGATTCGTTCATATATCTGACAGCCGCTAACCCTGTAATAGATTAAACGTCAAATAGAACGCATCTGCGTCTTTGCTGCCTTTTCTGCGGGTTGTACTATGTTACTCACGGTTGTTATATATTCTATTGGTATGCATCTACTCGGTTTAGGTAATATTTAGTTGATTATGGGAGACCTAGGTGTAATAATAGTGAAATGTGCTTTATCAAACACAATCTCGATAGGTTGCAACACTAATAAGTTAAAAGGTGCAAATCAACGAAAAGGTCAACTCAGTCACACGCGGCTTCAGAATCATTCAAAGAGGCCATCCTAATTTATTAGGCCCTTTACGGTATTGAATATATCCTAAAATTTTTCGTTCTAAGAGTGTAATAAAAGCGATACTTAAAAGGATATTAATAATAATAAAAATTTTAAGAAAAATAAAAGAAATTATTAAAAATCTGTAAAGATATAAAAGGAGCTTAAATCCTATGCATTGTTCTGCCATTTTAATAAAATGTGGATTCTCAAATTAGTACATCAATTAAAAAATAAGGTAAATCTACTAAATGAAATATTTTTCTTATTTAAATTCTAAATTTGATGCAATTTTCTGCCAAATTAGTTGAGAATTAATTTTAATGATAATTAATCATTTTTTTCAAATTCAAAATTTGATGTGAAAGTACACTAAAAATTAAAAAAAACAAAAGAATATATCATAAATAAATTTACAATTTATCACATTAAATCTGTCATTTTGTTTTAATAAAGAAAATGAAGATAGAAAATAAAGACAAATAAAATTTATAATTTTTTTAGATCTCAAAAATGGAGGCGATCGACGATAAGGTCAGCGTACAACAGAGGACTCGGTCCCCTGATTAGCTTTCAGTATCACCCATCAGCAACTCAGTACACTTCACCAGCTGAAATTTCCGAAAGAAAAATACGCGGCGGGAATCAACAAGAAAAAGGACGAGTGAATTAACGACTGAAGGTTTCTTCGCTAGCTATTTCTCTACGCGATGGCACTCTCGTGCCTTTATTCGTGCAATATTCGACCTCCTTTACTTTTTGTATTTTACCCTGAAGAACCATCAGTGTCCTATAAAGTTGGCGTTAACTTCGAACTGTTGTTTGTATTCCTTTAGTCCTGCATAAAAGTAATATTCATCATGTTTCGCGAATTCCCTTTCAATGACATCCTGGTCCTCATCTGGCTTCCAGTAGATAGTACAAAAAATTGCGAGATCGCTATACGACCGCCTTTGCATCCCCGACGTCAATGTTCTATAATATATCAGTACATCCTCTTTTATATTTTTGGATGCGTCACGACTTTTTGGGAATTAAAAGGCCCATTCGCGACAAATCGTTCTTGGGTCAATGATTGTACAGTGGGGCTGTGTTTTTTTCTCAGTGAAAGCAATGTCAATGGTGGTACATCGAGCAGGCTAAAATCGAATTTTTTTAGTACAAAGCCACCTTTACAATGCGTAAACAGCTGCGTTTGAATTCAAACTTACCATTTCATTCGGTTGAACACTGTTATAGTAGTTGTGGCATTGAATAAAAGTTTCAGCTTCAAGCCTGCTAATTAAAATGAACCTAAAAAGAACCGTTTGTCATTCGAAATGAATCGTGTCGAAGGGTTGATTTGTAAATTAGTGGCTAAAACCTGTTTAAATCAGCACTACATCGCTACCTACCCTATATAGCGCAATATAAACGCGCGACTCGACTTATCGTTTCGCCTTCCCGTTGGCTGTCTGACGACTTTGTCGAAAGATGTACACTGCTAGTAATTTTCTTGCTTGAAACGGATACAGAACACCCCACATTCTTTTCCGCGGGAAATGCAAGGCCAACCGTGCTGCTTTTGCGCAGATAGTACGCCAGTGGAAAAGCAGAGTCAAGCCTTTCTGGAATCGAGCCGTTTGTCCGCCTCGCCACAGCACAACGGCAATGGCTGTGTAGTGCGGGGAACAGGGCGTGGCCTCGTCGACGCCGGAGAAGGAATTCCCTTCGTCTCGAGAATCTCGCAGACATCCTTTTCTGACTCCTCCCAGCAGAGTCGAAAAGGCAGCCAAAAGTGCTGCGAAACTTGCTCGTCTCCTACGGGTGGGTACCATATGGCTATGACACGGTCGGATTGCCAACAGCCAAAACATCGCTCTAACGAACGATCATCATCACGCCATCGTAGATTTCCTCTTCTTTCCATTGACGAATGAGCTTGACGGCAACAAATACCGCACTAGATACGTCAGAGCTGCTTAGCTAGTCGAAGTAGTAACAAAAATGCGGTTATCGTCGTCAGCGCGGGTGTCTATTTTTTTCTCTTTTTCTATCGGACTCATCTATTTTAACTGTTCTGTGTTTCAACACTGCCAATCAGATTGTCTCGTCACATCGAATGGTTCAGCTGACAAACCGAGTTAATTGAGAAACGCAGTGGTATATAATGGGCTACCGCTGTTTGATCAATACGTTTTTCAGGTAATCTTACATAGACACTTGCAGCCGTTCAATCGCTGGAGAGGTTATGCGCAGCTGCACCTCGTCGGAGAATTTCAGATGAAACATAAAATTGGTTTGTCATTGTTATTGTTGGCTTACATGTGACATGCGATATTTTCACTATGTTCAGTATAACTAATGAGGCTTAGCATTTGTCGTTACATACCCGTTTTGTCCTGATTGGCCTTCGAAACAAAGAGTTGGCTGCAGAATTAATAAAACGACTAAGTCGATACCGTTTCAATCATATTTCGCAAAGCCGGTGCGGTCAAACAGTTTTCGCTAATGAAAAGCCGGCACGAAAACCAGGTTGAAGCAAAGACAAAGCTATTGTGCTTATTAGCCACTATTTTTCCAGGTGTATTCTCGATAGGACACAATCCAAGGTAGTACAGAATGGTCGCCACTAACCGCAACCTGGGTAATTTCATTCGTGTAGCTTAACGAACATTACAGACAAACATTAGCTAGCTCGTTGCTGTTTCTACTATTCGTGTCCTTTGAAAATCCACCGATATTTAATGCCCACTCCACAGAGTCACCAAAGAAACAACTCGATATATTACTACAACTTTGTCCGTCGCTGTAGCTTGGCCTGTCTCGCTGGAAACCAGCCAACCGTGATCCTGATACAGTATGGGTGGAATTTGTCGACATGGAAAGCACTAACTTTTATAATATTTTCGTTTGTAAAAACTTCATCATTGCATCACTGCAACTGCTTTGTGAATTATCGCAAATAGCCAGATTCAACCGAAAAGCAGATACCCAAGAGAACACACTATTGTTAAACGCTTCGCTTCTGTCGTCCTAATCAGACGTAATAGAGAAAAACGGTAGTGGATAAGGATCTTGAAGTGAAGTAAAGCCTTAGACGGCTACTTCCTGGAACGGAAGTATCAGTGAACGAATAGAGAACGATGCTCAAAAACGTACCACTGTTCATATGCATACATTATTTATAGCATTTTTATTCTATGGATCTTTGTAACACGCAACCCGTCTTGAATCGTCCGCACGGCGCGGCCCCGTTCCGCAGAGTCACTAACGTCAAAAATAAGAAACTCTGATCCTCTTGACTAGATTTTGCTTCTAGACAGTTGTTAACAACAGCAACAACGGCACAAGACTAGCTTCTGAGGTTCTGACAAGCACGTCATCTGATAAGATAAGCAAATTAGATCATCGCTTGTAATGGAATATTGCAATAACATCTAATAATTTTGCTTTACCTAATAGTAGTAATAATAATATTGATCATCTTTCCCACACCTCATTTCACTAACAGTCTCGGCCGTAATCGTTTGCGACCCATTCACGGATAACAGCAACAACTAGAACAGCTGGCTTAAGCAGTTTGGCCTAAGATGAGGACACTCGTTGGTGGGGTTACACTTTGTGTTCTGAAGCTGTGAAGAAGCCCTATCTCGGCATTCCTCATGGAACCGGCCGGCTCGGGCCGTCTCCGGCTAAATCTTCAGGCCCTTTCGGCTGTCAAACAGCAGCGAGCACACTGAAGGCGACGGAAGCAATTCGTCCTCGCGTGATGACGCAGCGGCTCGTTTGATTGGATTGAATAGTACTTGTTGTAGTGGTCATCGTAGCATTAACCATACGCATGTATATTTCTAATGTGTACGTGCGAGGACTGAGGAACACACAAGCAAATACAAACGATTTATTTAAGCGCTATGATTACTATCTGTCCTAGCATCAACATCGTTTCAATCGTAGCAATGAACAACAATTAATGAGCTAGTATAACTATCGTTGCTGGCTGGCTAGCTACCCATGTGATAACGATTCCATTAACCGCAATAGGCCCTGCTGCACAGTCTTTACTGTGTATGAGTTGGCACAGCATCCCGATGCAAGGTAATAGTTGTCTCGTAGAGTCACCACAGCGGCCATAACCGATACGGTTTATTATCTTTCAAGCAAGATGACCTTGTTCGTGTCAAAGGATGGCGAAGGACGGGGCCGATTGCTTAGAGTAAGTCACCGGCTGGATTCTCAATCGAAAGGTTCAACGATTAATTAGCAAATCCGCTTCTCTTGTTATCGCTGCTATTATTGTTATTTCATGTACATGGCAGGCTCCACTGTTCGGTTATTCAGTCCAGTTGTTCTCGTATGCAGACAACGACGCTCGCTCAAGTCTCGCCTGTTCGGTGTGCCGCTTCGCCATTATTTAGCGGTAGCGCCAGCAGCAACGGCACTAGCAATACGCGTAACGC